CAGACCGGGACCAGACCAAGACTGAGATCAGAACTGAGACCGGGACCAGACTGAGACCAGACCGGGACCAGAGCAGGACCAGACTGGGACCAGACCGAGACCAGACCGGAGACCAGACCGGGGACCAGACCGGGACCAGACCAAGACCGAGATCAGAACTGAGACCGGGACCAGACTGAGACCAGACCGGGACCAGAGCAGGACCAGACCGGGACCAGACCGAGACCAGACCGGGACCAGACCGGGACCAGACCAAGACCGAGATCAGAACTGAGACCGGGACCAGACTGAGACCAGACCGGGACCAGAGCAGGACCAGACCGAGACCAGACCGGGACCAGACCAAGACTGAGATCAGAACTGAGACCGGGACCAGACTGAGACCAGACCGGGACCAGAGCAGGACCAGACCGAGACCAGACCGGGACCAGACCAAGACTGAGATCAGAACTGAGACCGGGACCAGACTGAGACCAGACCGGGACCAGAGCAGGACCAGACTGGGACCAGACCGAGACTGAGACCAGACCGGGACCAGAGCAGTACCAGACTGGGACCAGACCGGGACCAAACCGGGACTGAGACCAAGACCAGCCCGACACCAGACCGGGACCAGACCAGAGGTTCAGAGCCCACAACAGGGCCAGAGCTTGAAGCTGAGGCTCAGACCCTGCGGAGGCTTGGAGTCAAAGCTCGGAGTCCCGCTCTGATCCCGCTCTGGTCCCGGGTCTAGTCCAGGTCTGGTCCCGGACCTGGATCAGTCCTGGTTCAGTCCATATGTGGTGCAAAAGTCCGGCATCGCAGTCACTGGAAGTCACGTAAACGGGAAACGGCCATTATCAGTTTTTTACATTTTTCATTTAAACACAAAATCGTAAACTGAAAAAACAAATCGTTATCCATTTTTTCATTTTTGTTTTGGAGACAAATAATGAAGAAAACAGTTTTTTTTTTTTTTTTTCCTATTTTTGGTTTTATATTGAAAAACAAATGAAAGAATGATACACGGATTCTAAATGGAGATTTGTAAGTTTATGGACATACTGCGGGACAATCTACAGACCCACACACTCTTAGAAGGTAAAAAGCTCTGAAAAGTTGATTTTGCATGAGATGGGCCCTTTAAATAATTCTATGACGTATTTACATTTGCCGCTGAATTTTCGTCACCTGACAAGATGTCAGACAAAATGTGTCCCGTGCCGCAGTGTTTTGCGTCGGGTCCCGTGAGTCCCAATAGTCCAGTTGTCATCGCATGTTTCCAAACGTCTTCCTGGTTTGTGACGGAAGCGTGAATAGAGCCAATTGCTAAAAATACCTGTGAGCAGTGAGCTGGGTCGCCTCTCCACAGACCTGACCTGCCACAGCTGAATCCGTGTATCATTCGTTCATTCGTTTTTCAATATAAAACCAAAAATAAGAAAACAAAACAACTGTTTTCTTCATTATTTGTCTCCAAAACCAAAATGAAAAAACAGATAATGATTTGTTTTTTCAGTTTTCGATTTTGTGTTTAAATGAAGAATGGAAAAAAAGGATAACGACCGTTTCCCGTTTACGTGACTTCAGTGACTGTGATGTCGGACTTCTGCACCGCATACGGACTGAACCAGGACTGATGCAGGTCCGGGACCAGACCGGGACCAGAGCGGGACCAGACTGGAACCAGACAGGGACCAGAGTGGGACCAGACTGGAACCAGACCGGGACCAGAGCGAGACCAGACCGGGACCAGAGCGGGACTGAGACCGAAACCAGACCAGGACCAGACTGAGACCGAGACCAGACCGGAACCAGGCCAGGACCAGACCTGGACCAGACTGAGACCGAGACCAGACCGGAACCAGGCCAAGACCAGACCTGGACCAGACTGAAGGCTCAGAGCCCATTGCAGGGCCGGAGCTCGAAGCTGAGGCTCGGTCCCCGCGGAGGCTCAGAGTCAAAGCTCGGAGTCTTCTGCCCTGGTCCCGGTCTGGTCCCAGTCCCGGTCTCGGTCTGGTCCTGGTCTGGTCCTGGACCTGGATCAGTCCTGGTTCAGTCCGTATGTGGTGCAAAAGTCCGGCATCGCAGTCACAAGTCACGTAAACGAGAAACGCCCGTTATCCATTTTTTCCATTCTTCATTTAAACACAAAATCGAAAACTGAAAAAATGAATTGTTTTTCATTTTGGTTTTGGAGACAAATAATAAAGTTTGTAGTTGTTTTTTCGTTTTCTTATTTTTGGATTTAAATTGAAAAATGAACGAACGAATGATACCCAGATTCAACTGCTTCAACTTTCTATTCAGACCACAGGTGTCAAACATAAGGCCCGGGGGCCAGATCCGGCCCTCCAAGACCTTTAATGTGGCCCTTGGGTGACTTTCTACTAAAATATTTTAATTATATTTTCTATTAAAATATTGGTAATTTTCTGTGGTGTTTATCACAGCAGCGTCTCCAGTGTCTCTGTACGTGGCCCCTCCCACCAGAGCAGCACAAATGAAGACTTGTCTCTTTCCAAACGCTCTTAAAGGACGATCGTTTTGACTGTTGACCGTGACACCCTCATCAGAAAAATGTCCAACATGAGAAAAGTGGACACTGAAAGAAAAATTGACTTATTCCTGTTTGCATACAAGTTATTGTTAAAACATTGTGTTGAAACTGAATTTTTATTAAAGTTTCTGGTTGTTCATAATATTATAATATTATAATAAGAAAGAGTTCATCAATTAAAAAAGATTTCTGTAATAGATTAACGTTTCTCTGCACAAATATTTGAAGTTATTGTTATTTTTGGGGTTTATATGACATGAGTTTTCTGATCCGGCCCCTTTGGGATCAAAGTCGGTTGGATACGGCCCCCGGACCAAAATGAGTTTGACACCCATGATTTAGACGATCCAGGACTTTCCTTATTTACGGCTCACGGCATCGACTACGAGCAGTGCAGGAGCGTCCTAAAATAAACAGGAAGTGCTTTATTTCCATTCTCATGAAGTGACTTTGTGGTTTGGAGTGGAGTTTAACCGCACGCTGCAGCTGAACGTGCCCAGATCGAGTCGTCTCTTCTCGCGGTGATTGTGTCTCATGTAAATCAGACATAAAAAGCAGCAGACGCAGATTAACAGAACAATCCCAAAGTCAACAGCAGCGGCAGGGGACGCGGGAAAACAAACACTCCACAGAGATTATACACTACACCTCTGTTGTACTAACAATAGAATATGGATGGATGGATGGATAGAGGGAAGGAGAGGGAGAAATGAATAGATAAGTTTGTCGTGGAAGGAAGTTAGGGGAGAGGAGAAAAGGAGAGAAGAGAGAAGAAGAAAGGAGCAGAAGAGCAGAGGAGAGAGAAGTAGAGGAGAAAAGAAGAGGAGCAGAGAAAAGAAGAGAGGAGAAGAGGAGCAAAGGAGAGAGAGGACGAGAGGAGCAGAGGGGGGAGGAGAAGAGGACAGGAGGAGTAGAGAGGAGAGGAGAAAGGAGGAGATGAGCAGAGGAGCAAAGAAGTAGAGGAGGAGATGAGCAGAGAAGAGAGGAGGAGAGGAGGAAAGGAGCAGAGGAGCAAAGAAGTAGAGGTGAGCAGAGGAGAAGAGAAGAGAGGAGGAGAGAGAGGATGAGAGGAGCAGACTGGAGAAGAGAGAGAGGTGCAGGGGAGGAGAAGAGAGGAGCATAGAGAGGTGAAGAGAACGAGGAAAGGAGCAAATGAGAAGAAGAAGTAGAGGAGAGAGGAGCAGAGAAGAGAGGAGATGAATAGGAAAGAGAGAGGAGAAGAGGAGGAGAGGAGCAGAGGAGAGGAGAAGAGAGAGGAGAAGAGAGAGGAGTAGAGGAGGAGATGAGGAAGATAGGAGGAGAGAGGAAAGGAGCAAAGGTGCAAAGAAGTACAGGAGCAGAAGAATGAGAAGAGAAGAGGAACAGAGAAGAGAAAAGGAGAAGATGAGCAAAGGAGCAAAAAAGTAGAGGAGTCAGAAGCAGAGGAGAGAGGAGAGGAGGAGGAACATAGGAGGAGAGAGAGGAAAGGAGCAGAGGAGCAAAGAAGTAGAGGTGAGCAGAGGAGAGAGAAGCAGAGGAGAAGAGAGGAGGAGAGAGAAGCAGAGGAGAAGAGGAGCAGAGGAGGAAAGAGGAGAGAGGTGAGAGAGAGAGCAGAGGAGAGAGGACGAGGAGGGAACAGACTGGAGAGAAGAGAGAGAGGTGCAGGGGAGGAGAAGAGAGGAGCATAGAGAGGTGAAGAGGACGAGGAGAAGGAGCAAACGAGCAAAGAAGTAGAGGAGAGAGGAGCAGAGAACAGAGGAGATGAATAGGAAAGAGAGAGCAGAAGAGGAGGAGAGGAGGGAGAAGAGAGAAGCAGAGGAGAGAGAGAGAGAGAGAAGAGGAAGGAGTAGAGGAGGAGATGAGGAAGATAGGAGGAGAGAGGACAGGAGCAAAGGTGCAAAGAAGTAGAGGAGCAGAAGAATGAGAAGAGAAGAGGAACAGAGAAGAGAAAAGGAGAAGATGAGCAAAGGAGCAAAAAAGTAGAGGAGTCAGAAGCAGAGGAGAGAGGAGAGAGGAGGAGAACATAGGAGGAGAGAGGAGAAAAGAGGAGCAGAGGAGGAAAGAGGAGAGAGGGAGAGAGAAGCAGAGGAGAGAGGAGAAAAGAGGAGCAGAGGAGAGAGGACGAGAGGAGCAGACTGGAGAAGAGAGAGAGGTGCAGGGGAGGAGAAGAGAGGAGCATAGAGAGGTGAAGAGGACGAGGAAAGGAGCAAACGAGCAAAGAAGTAGAGGAGAGAGGAGCAGAGAAGAGAGGAGATGAATAGGAAAGAGAGAGGAGAAGAGGAGGAGAGGAGCAGAGGAGAGGAGAAGAGAGAGGAGAAGAGGAGGAGAGAGGAAAGGAGCAAAGGCACAAAGAAGTAGAGGAGCAGAAGAATGAGAAAAGGAGAGGATTAGAGAGAAGAGGAGCAAAGGAGCAAAAAAGTAGAGGAGTCAGAAGCAGAGGAGAGAGGAGAAGATGAGAGGATGAGAGAGATGAGAGGACTAGAGGAGCAGACTAGAGAGGAGAGAGGTGAAGAGGAGGGAGGAGAAGAGGACAGGAGAGGAACATAAGCGTAAAGAGAAGAGGAGAGAGAAGGAGATGAGCAGAGGAGCAAAGGAGCAAAAAGTAGAGGAGAGAGAAGCAGAGGAACAGGAGGAGAAAACAGAGGGAGGAGGAGGAGACACGAGCTGAGGCTGAATGGTTTTTCCTTAAGCGCTGGTTCTGACCAAAACGATCCTATAATGAGTTTTATACACTAAAGAGTAAATTATACAGTTTTATGATCATCTTTAGTCTCAGGTAACTGTGTTTGAACTTGTGTTTTTATTCGTTTTAACGTCAAATTCAGGATTACGTAACTGTGCTGCTCCTCGCTGCGAGACAAATGCAGTTTTATTATTTGATCTGATTTCTTCTCTTCTCCTCTGTGGTTTCCTCGCCTCGTCTCCTTCCGTGAGCTTTGGGACACCACTTAATATGGCGCGTTTGATTGACAGCTGAAAAACGAAGGATCGAGGAGTCCCATTTCTCGTTCCTCGCTTCCTTCTCCTCGATTCCTCTCCTCGACGCTGCAGGAAATGGGTGAGGAAGTCAAAACGAGGAGAGGAGAAGTTGGATTATTATTTCTGTTTACTCCTTCCTTCCTGTGGTTTTCTTTGGGACTCCACTTGAATCAAGGAGAAAGAAGCGAGGAAAGAGAATAGAGACACCGCCTGGGTCTTGTTTCTCCCTGTTTCGTGTTGTTTTTTCTTTTTCTGACGGTGTTTTCTGCCCCCTGCAGGTGAGGAGGCCAGCCCAGAGAACCTGCTCCTGCACGGGCCCTTCTCCAGGAAACCCAAACGCATCCGCACGGCCTTCTCCCCCTCACAGCTGCTCCGGCTCGAGAGGGCCTTCGAGAAGAATCACTATGTGGTGGGAGCCGAGAGGAAACAGCTCGCGTCAGGGCTGTGTCTCACCGAAACTCAGGTACTAATACTGCAGTACCACAGGGAGTAGTAGTAGTAGTAGTAGCAGTAGTAGAAGAATCACTATGGAAAGAGAAACAACTGGCATCAGGGCTTGGTCTTAAAACTGAGGTACATATACTGCAACTACTAAAGGGAATGGGAGTAGTAGTAGTAATAGTACTAGTAGTAGTAGTAGTAGTAGTAGTAGTAGTAGTAGTAGTAGTAGTAGTAGTAGTAGTAGTAGTAGTAGTAGTAGTAGTAGCAGCAGTAGCAGTAATAGTAGTAGAATCGTTATGTGGTGGGAGCAAAGAGGAAGCAGCTAGCATCAGGGCTGTGTCTCACCGGAGCTCAGGTACTAATACTGCAGTAACACAGGGAGTGGTAGTAGTAGCAGTAGTAGTAGTAGTAGTAGTAGTAGTAGTAGTAGTAGTAAGTAGTAGTAGTAGTAGTAGTAATTGTAGAAGAATCACTATGTGGTGGGAGCCGAGAGGAAACAGCTCGCGTCAGGGCTGTGTCTCACCGAAACTCAGGTACTAATACTGCAGTACCACAGGGAGAGGGAGCAGTAGTAGTAGTAGTAGTAGTAGTAGTAGTAGTAGGAGTAGCAGTAATAGTAGAGGATTCACTATGTGGAAGCAGAAGGTTTGACGGCTCTCGAAACTCAGGTACTAATAGTACAGTAACAGAGGATGGGGGAGTAGAAGTAGTAGTTGCAGTAGTAGTAGTAGTGGTAGTAGGAAGTAGTAGTAGTAGTAGTAGTAGTATTAGTAGTGGTACAGTTACTATGTGGTGGGAGCAGAGAGGAAGCAGAAGACTTGGGGGCTCTGTCTCACCGAAACTCAGGTACTATTAGTGCAGTACTACAGCGAGTGGGAGTAGTAATAGTAGTAGTACTAGTAGTAGTAGAAGTAGTAGTAGTAGTAGTAACATTAATAGTAGTAGAATCACTATGTGGTGGAAGCAGAGAGGCAGCAGAAGTAGCAACAGCAGTAGTAGTAGCAGTAGCAGCAGTAGTAGTAGTAGTAGTAGTAGTAGTAGTACCACTAGTAGTAGTAGTAGTAGTAGTAATAGTGATGTGATACTAATACTCGTAGTAGAAGTAGTAGTGGTAGTAGTGGTGGTAGTGGTAGTAATAATAGTAATAGTTGTAGTAGTAGTAGTGATAGTAATAGTAATAGTAGTAGTTGTAGTAGTAGTAATAGTAATGGTAGTGGTAGTAGTAGTAGTGGTAGTGGTAGTAATAATAATAATAATTGTAGTAGTAGTAGTGGTAGTAGCAGTAGTAGTAGTTGTAGCAGTAGTAGTAGTAGTAGTAGTAGTAAGTAGTAGTAGTAGTAGTAGTAGTAGTAGTAGTAAATGTGATGTGTGAACTACTATGTCCAAGTCTGTCTAAGTTGTAGTAGTAGAATCTATTACTACTCCTAGAAGTAGTACTTCTACTGCGGTACCAGGAGTAGTAGCATTAGTAGTAGTAGCTGGTATCAAGCTGCTTAATACTACAGGGGGAAGTGGTAGTGGTAGTAGTAAGTGAAGTACCAGCAGTTAATGTGGTAGTAATTATTTTAATGGAAATCATCTGAAACAACCTGTTTACTTCACTACTACTACTACTACTACTACTACTACTACTACTACTACTACTACTACTACTGCTGCATCTACGGCTTAAAGTACTACAACTGAACTTTGGAGATGTAGACAGACTAATATTAAAGAAAGTACTATAACCTCAATACTACTTCTGCTACTATATCACCTCTACTACTACTACTACTACTACTACTACTACTACTACTACTACTACTACTACTATTATGACTTTCCAAATGCACAAAAAGACTGCTTGTATTTCTATTACTATTACTATTACTATTACTATCAGTACTACTACTACTACTACTACTACTTCTACTTCTACTACTACTACTACTACTGTCACATCACTACTATTACTACTTCTACTACTGCATCTACTGCTTAAAGTACTACAACTGAACTTTGAAGATGTAGAGAGACTAATAATAAAGAAAGTACTATAACCTCAATACTACTTCTGACACTATATCACCTCTACTACTACTACTACTACTACTACTACTACTACTACTATACTACTACTACTACTACTACTACTATGACTTTCCAAATGCACAAAAAGACTGCTTGTATTTCTATTACTATTACCATTACTATTACTATCAGTACTACTACTACTACTACTTCTACTACTACTACTACTACTGTCACATCACTACTATTACTACTACTACCACTTCTGCTACTACTACTACACAAAGCTATTCTCTGTACATGTATTCGGTTACTCCCCAACACTTGAGTACTACTATTAGCAGAATTACTTGTGTGATAGTTCTGACAGTGCAGTATTTCTTGTAGTACCTGAGGCGTCTTCTGCAGTAGTCGTGTTGGAGCAGATGCTGTCAGAGATAGTCCCACACATATTTATGACTCTGAGACGACGGGGAGGACCAGGACTGGGAGTACTTCAAGTAGTAGTAGTAGTAATAGTCATGTGATACTAATACTCATAGTAGTAGTAGTAGTATAGTGGTAGTAGTAGTGGTAGTGGTGGTCGTGGTAGTAATAATAGTAATAGTTGTAGTAGTAGAGTAGTAGTAGTTGTAGTAATAGTAGTAGTAGTAGTAGTAGTAGTAATAGTCATGTGATACTAATACTCGTAGTAGAAGTAGTAGTAGTACTGGTAGTAGTGGTGGTAGTGGTAGTAATAATAGTAATAGTAGTAGTTGTAGTAGTAGTAATAGTAATGGTAGTAGTAGTGGTAGTAGTGGTAGTGGTAGCGATAGTAATAGTAGAAGTAGTAGTTGTAGTA